TGTATGTTGTCCAATTTTAACATAACATAAACATTTACAGTCAATCTATTCCACAAACTCTAGGCAAACACAGAAAGACTAGGCTGGAAGAACTATTGGGAAACATTTTCTTCCTTATAATTATGCTCCTACCCTCACACCCTTCCCAAGACTGTTTCAGTCATAGCCCACTGGACCTTGTCTATACTCAAAGAACACTCAGGTAAAGCATCAATGAAGAGATCAATAACTAAAATAAATACAAGAGATCTATAGCCACTTGAATAGAACTGACGAATAACTGGTCCAGACAAGTAGAAATGCTCTGCGTGTTTCAAGTAGAAATGCTCTGCGTGTTGTGACTGAGTAAAAACACCAGTGCGAAGTCTGAAGTGTAAATGTAAATATTATCATAAATGCCAGTTTCTAATTTATCTTTGTATGGTACCCAACATCTAAGGACTCCTGCATGTCCTCTTTCTCTACGTTAAATGCATTTCAGAGACCAACTGTAATTTTTGTTGGGAGGACTCAGAGCTCTGGCTCCAAATAAGTCAGTGGTCAAAGTATATTTTATGAAGGATTTAGGATGATTGGAAAAGAAACAAAAAAACCTGTTTTCATGAGCTAGCTGGGGCCTCTGCCTATGTTCAGCATACAAGGGGGAGATCAACAGTCACAGGAAGCATGGTCAGACTGAAAAAGGGGGTCTAGAACACCTGTGTGAGCAGTGTGTTTTTGGGAAGATGCGATGCAGCAGGAAGTGGTGTCAACTCCAGTGCCCTCTGGACAACCAAGAGAAGAAGCCCTCAGTTGGGGGAGGGGAGAACAGGGGATCTGCAAATTAATATTGTAACTCACACTGCCCTTGGTTTTACAATTCTCCACTCTCTCCCTTCTCCTCACTTTTGCACTATTGTTTACAGCCCCTAACAAGTGTGTATCCCAGTTGGGAGTCAAATGCAAATGACCCACTCAGCTGTCCACCTGACTCTAATGTTCTGTTGATATGAGAACCAGCTCAATGACAGGGGACAGAGACATGAGTCAAACCCATTCTGTCACTCCACATCTTCAGAAGCATATGCCCCTCTGAGGTTACCCAATGATACAGTCCTTAGATTATCTCTGCATTGTTTTTGTTTGTTACTTTGTTTTGTTTTGGTTTTAAAGAAAGAGAGAAAAGGAAAAAAGAAAGAAAAAAAAAAGATGTTAAAATATCTGGGACCAAAATAATCAGTATGTTTTCTAGAGTTGGAAATTGCTGTTTTAATTCACCCTTTGGGTAGTTTCTAGGTAAAGGGACTTGTAGGATCACTAAACTAATTTTCAAGTTGTTTAAGCATGCCAAAATGTGCTCACACATGAGGGAGTGAGGCACTAAGATACAGCAGGACACATCAATTTTTCTACTGTAGCAATTAAGGCATCACACACACTTATCAAACTGTGAGTGACTAGCTGGGGATTAGCTTTTAGGAATGCAACAAAATTACATCCACATAGATTTAATTGCTGTTCAAGGATAAGAATTTCAACACAAGAAAGATGCAGTGAAAGAACAAGAGAAATCCACTGTTCTACATTAAAAAAAAAATTAATTCTGCACAAGGATCTGTGCCCAGTGATATACTGAATTTTATTTATTTTTTTTAAATTTCATTCTTGGTAATCAATCAATAACTATCTGAACATGTGAACTGAATCCAGTATACTTTAATCAAAATATGTATACCATTTTCTCAAATTCTGTAAAGATAAAGTGATTGAGAAAAGGTCTGACAAGTGAAAATACAGTCATAGATGCCTGGAGTCATAGAGATTTTAGAGATTATCTCTCCAACTCTCATTTTATCAATGAGAAAAAAAGTGTCACTTTGAGGATATACATTCAATTAAATTTGGTTACATTAAAAGTGAATTTTCTCTCATATGTTTTCTTATTAAAGGAATGTTTTCCTATTATGCGTTCCATGAAGGCAAAGACTGGGTCACTTAGTAGGTGTATGTGCAATGTGTACGTTTGTATATATGGATATATGTGTATAAGTATACAGTATATAACAGATACACTGTAAGTACACAGCAAATGAATGAATCAATGAAACCAATCTTGACTTTCCAAGATCTCAAAGAGCTAGCATCTTGAAATGTAGCATTCTCTAATTGTCTTATCTCAGAACTTTTGTATTGGAAAATAGTCAAGTACCAACAAAAGCTCTTCCTAGTCTACTACTTATGCTTTATATTCTACCCAAGTAATTAAGTTGTAATATGTATTTCTTCAAATAATAATTGAATTTTAAAGTAAAAATCTTAAGAAAATTATTCCTATGAAGTTTTCCCAATAAAACAGTTACATTGTAAAGTCCATTCTGTAAATCATTATTTTCTCTTTTTTATGAAGATGTTATTTATTGTAAAGCAATTTTAGTATGACAAATAACCATATAATCATGACTCATTATTACCTAAAATTAGTATCTATAGGTAAAGCCATTCCTTCAGAACAAAATCTGTGTTCAAGCAAGCCTGCAGAAAGGGAATCAAGTCTGTTCTATGATTATAGCTTTATAAAGGTTATCGGATGTATGGGGGTTTTAAGAACAATATATTAACAGAATTTTTGTTTCTTTTATATACATTTGTAAGAATCTTACTGTTCCCATAGTTGGGACATGATATCTCAGTCCTGTTGGCTTATTGATAGCCAGAACCTTAACAAGGGCCTATAAATTGTCATTTTATACCTTATAGTGACTTATGAGTTCTATGTACAGAAATCCTAGCTATGTTCAAAAGTATTAACATATCCAGGGGCGCCTGCGTGGCTCAGTGGGTTAAAGCCTCTGCCTTCGGCTCAGGTCATGATCCCAGGGTCCTGGGATCGAGCCCCGCATCGGGCTCTCTGCTCAGCGGGGAGCCTGCTTCCTCCTCTCTCTCTGCCTGCCTCTCTGCCTACTTGTGATCTCTGTCAAATAAATAAATAAAATCTTAAAAAATAAAAAGTATTAACATATCCAGATTTTCTCATTGACTGTCAATAACATGATCAATTATGTTCATTAATTGTAAACATTATATAGAATAAAATTTTAAAATATGGCTCTGTTCTATATAAATAAAAATCTCAGGTAAAATAATAACAGAAAAGTTGTAATTCTTTTAATTAGATAATATTACTACTTATTCAAGGAAAATAATACTTTTTAAATGTATTTTGTTTCTTAAAATGGTAATGGGGTAAATATTAATATATTTAAGAACTTTTGTTTCAAACATAAGAAGAACATCAAAATACAATATTGTTTTTGTCTTTCACTTCACCAATACTGGAAATTAAAAACAACAATAACAGTGTTTTGACCATCGCATTTCTTTCTCCTTGGTAACAAACCAAGAAGAATCCAAACTCATATTTTCTAATTCCTTAAATGCTAGGAAAAAAGATAACAGAAAGAAAGAGAGGCAAATAGTGGTTTTCTAGGGCCTGGGCCTGCTGTATTCATTCTTAAAAGCTAATGAACAAGTTAAATTTTCTAGGAGTGCAGTGTTCCAGATATAACCACAGGAGGATAGAAACAGGAGTGCTTATATTTGGTTGTAGCCAGTATTGCGTATTATGGAAGAGTACAGGCTGGGATATTTGTATACATATATAGAAATCAGTTGAAAATTCAATTTTGCAAAACAAGAATTCCCTTTTCAGGGAGGTAAAAATCCATATTTAAATACAGTCAGCAACCAAGGTCATTCAATAATTCTGCTTATTTCCCTTTAGCTCATTTTTTTCTTCCTAAGTTCACTTATTTTACTCCTTCTAATTTTAAATTCATTTTACTAGTTCTTATCCAATATAGGGACTAAAAATATAAGAGGCTAATGATTTTAGAGACATTTCACTTGTTCCAAAAGACAAATTCATTTGACAGAGGCAAATCTGATCACAGCCACAAAACAGGACTTCATCAGAGATTTTTGCAAAATGTGGCAAGGAATCATACATTGAGTGAACAGCTACTGACACAAAGTTAAATCCTTTGTATATGCCCTATTACTATTCTTCATGGTAAATCGATAAGGAAAGCATTAACATTCATACTCCATGAATATAGAAACTGAGGCTTGCTGAGGTCAGAAAATTTTCTAAGATCACATACAGTTATTAAAAGAGAAAGCCAGAATAGAAACCAGGGTATGTCTTTTTCTAACACTTGTAAGATCTCCCGGCTGTCTCCCAGAGCTTGGAGACCAATTAGGCTGACGACTCCCCCACCCCCCATCACTGAGGCCCGGGGAGAGTGAAGTCACTTCCATGAGAACACACAAGAAAGTGATGAGTCAGTCCAAACCAATCCTTGTTTGCTTCACTGTACTATACAGCTTTAGCTTATTTTCAACCCCAAGGCACACTCGAAATAAGACGTTTCTAGAGAACTGAGTTCTGGCATTAGGCTCCTTATCCTCAGCCACACCTAGACTAATTCAAGTCTTTTTGGAAGTTTTATCAATTTTCCAGGCCAGGAAAATAATAATCACTGGATCACTGCTTCATAAATATAACCTTATTGGACCTCAAGAAGGTCTTTTGATGTCTATATTTATAAGTGGAAAACAGGGATGGTATGAAACATCCCATTCTAATTAATCTGTCAGGAAACAAAGTCTCTCTATTCCACCTCTTTCAAGGTGAAGGTTTTGTTCGTTCCTTCAATCAATTGTGGCATTAGCACATTATGTCCTAAGCTGGTAAATATAAGTAAATAGACATCTTTGCTTCCTGGTAGAATAGCCTTTAATCATTGTCACATTTATAAAACTGTGCTATTAGTAAAACAATCCTTCCTTTAATTAACTCAAGTGTGGTTGAAGAAGATGTGGAATCTGTGCTGCTCACTCACTGTGTTGTTCTGGAACATTCCTTCACATGGCAACCACCATGCACCCAAGGAGGTGAATCAATGGGGCAAGTGAAAATTACACGTGTAGGGAATGAAACAGTGAACCTTTCCATGACTTACCCTTGAATTAACTACTTCCAGGGAGACGTTCTGAGGCGGGGCACTTGGCACTAAAAGGAACAAAACAAGGCGAGACGGTTACTGCCAAAGTCAGAAAAGAGAAACCACAACCTTCTGTGAAAAGAGAAAGTGTGACTTTCACAGTTCATGATGGTAATTAGGTAGGCTGATCCAGGTGGAACTTCTAACTTTTCCCGGAGAGATGAAAAATAACTGCCTCTGTTTATTTTTTCTCACTTGGTAGGACCAGGCATCCATATAGGGAGTTCTCCTCCCCCCAAAAAAACTGTTAGGCAAGACAGCACCTGTGGTGATACCAAATACTGCCATTTAGTTACAGCTTTCTTGTTATAACCTTCCCAGAGAAACCAATAAAAATACACAGAAGATTTCCTAGAGTGGTTTTAAAGGCTTAAGATATTGTGTATTTCAGGATCTGCATGGTTTTATTATAAAATATGTCATGCTAATGGTCACTCATGTTGCTTAATCCTCTTACTGCAATCTTTATTATCTCTTAAAATGTGAAAAGAAGAAATACATCTGTCTTTTTATCTGTGTGTAATTAAACCTATGTGTCATAGATGCAAGCAGTTTACCAAATAGCTCTCAGTGACTCAAATGCATTAACAACAACAAAAAAAAACTGCTTGTTTTTCTTTGTGGATTTTTCTACGTTTTTTTTTTTTTTCTTTTACTTGCATTTTGATTGCCCCATTCCTTCATGGAAGAAGGAAGAACATGTACAATTTTTTTTTTTAACAACACTTCTAGTGGATATTTACTGTATCAAAAAGTGAATACTCTATCATGTCAGTCATTCAAAGACTCCATTCACTAAATGGGTGTATGTGTCAGACACTTCCTAGATGTCTGAGAAGAATCATAAACAAAATAAAGCTTTCTGCCCCACAAAAGAAACAGAAGTAGCATTCAATAAATGCCTAACATGTATTAACCTGTAAAATGAGTAGTCCCTATTTTGTTCATGACAATTTGATTAATTTAACAGAGAAGAAAGGCTCTCAGCATTATCAAGAATTTAAGGGCCGTTTTCTGTCATGTCGCCCCTTCTTTAACTTGAACTTGGACAATTTCTACATTTCTTGAGGGTACTTATATTTTACCTTTTATTTTACCCTGAATTCATTTATGTCCTACTCTGAGTTTACCTTCTGAAAAGTAATCACCATGAGGGCATGAAATGTGTCTGATTAATTCGTATGGCCCCCAGACTGACATTCAATTAATAGCTACTGACTCAATGGTTACATGAACAAATAAATGCTTACTGAAATATTAGCTCCTAGGCCTTTCTGGACACCATAGGAATTATAATCACTTACTCTGTTTTGATTTTGAACTTCTTATCTTACTATCTTAGTAACGGGTGAAGGTTGTGAGCAATGTAGCTTGTGACCAAAAAACAAAACAAAACAAAAACAAAAAACAAAAAACAAAACTCAAACCAAACCAAACCAAACCAAACAACAACAACAAGAAAAAACACTCACTAGAGGCTTGTTTTCATGAATTAGGTCAACAAGAATTCTTTCAGAAATTATTTTATAATTTAAGAAATAGACTTTATCATTCAACTTATTTTAGTTCATATTACATTTCTTTCCAGATACAGAATATAATCCTCACAGGGTCCTGGATTCTTGTCCCTTTAGATGCTGAATCCTCAGTATCAGTAAGAGTATCATGTGTGTGGGTCACATGCAGCAGATATGTGTTGAATTAATTAACAGAGAGATTATAAGACATAATAAAAATGTTTTTCATACTCAGGGTTTTGGCCATAACAAGCTTTCTTTCCGCAGTTTTATTTTAATTAATGTAAGACATACATATGGTATAATGCACAAATCATGCATGCGTGATTGGATAAAGTTATATGTCTGTAGGAGTGTTCACATTTAAACAACACCTGGATCAAGATATAGAATATTTTCAGTATCCTGGAAAGTTCACTTGGGTCCCTTCCCAATCAATATCCTTCTTAGAGTAACCAGGAGTCTGACTTCTAACACCACTGATTAGCTTAGCTTGCTTTGGAGCTTACTAAAAATGAAATCAGTTATTTTGTTCAGGCTGGTTTCTCTTGCTCATCGTGATTTCGTGGGATTCATTCTTTCTGCTGCGTCTTGCAGTAGTTTCAGTCATTTTGTTTGGTTTTGTACTGGTCCTATTCTAAAATATTACCATTATATTTTATATGCACTCATTCTATTGATGAATGGCATTGGATTACGTTCAGTTTGGGGCTATGAAGAATAAATCTGCTATGAAAACTTTTGTCCATGTCTTTCGATGAATAACTGCACTCATTTCCTTGTTATATACCTAGCACTGGAAAACCTGGGAGCAGTGGAGACCCCTACGGGGTTATATATATGTTAAATATAGAAAACTTCCAGAATTTCCATATCCTTACCAATCTTTGTTTTTTTCTGAATCTTTTCCATTTTAGTCATTTGGTAGGTATGTAGTATTTTTATTTGCTTTTCCCTGAAGACCAGTCATGTGGAACATCTTTTCACATGTTTGGTGGCATTTGGATGTCCTTTTTTGTCAAGTTCTTAAAGTGTGTGTGTGTGTGTGTGTGTTTTAACAGATCAGTTTCCTTCAAAACTCATTTCTAAAATTTTCTTTCTTTTATATCTTAGATTCCATTTTCATGTTACTATGATTAAAACACTAAGATTTTTTTCCTAAAGATTAGTCAGAAGGGCTCTTTTGCATTTGACAAACTTCCCATCTTCTTGACGCTTCCCAAATGCTATTAATGAAACGGACTTCCCTAAACTATCTTCACAGACTGTGAACATCCCTGTTCAGTTTTCAGGAAAGGGAATAATGCGGAGGCTTTAATAAGACCATCTCCATATTCTATTTCCCTGAAAGAGGAAATATTAGAGGAGGCTGGAAATAGTAACAATGTGTGTGGTCAGAAAAACTGAACAGAATAACATCCTCACAATGAGAAAGAATTTGATATAATCTATATTCAAATTTTTCTGTAAAGCATTGAAAATTAAAATAAGCACCAACTAAAAAAAAATGCCAAGTGTTACATCATATAACTTCACAAACTTGGAGCACACTAGCTGTTCTTGCCTTACGTAATTAGGAAAGAAAGGAGCGAGTTCCTCCAAGAGCATTTTTAGTTATCGATCTCTACTCCCTCCCTCTCACTATAGGCTCCCCTATTATTGACATACAGTAGGTAAGATTAGATGCTTGGTGGAAGTAAATGGAATCCACATTTATCTGAACTTTTCTTTATTTGATTTCCCAAGATGTTTCATTATCTCATGAGTGAAAGAGGAAAGCCATAGTTCATTATTTTCTCTTCAAAATGTCAAGCAATTATCATTTACAACTGGCTTGTTAAAGCCAATCAGAGGCATTTGGTCCAGAAACTCCCCTCAATATGGTAAAACATGCAGGTTTGATACAGATGATAATGATGCATTCTGTAGAGTAGATAAAATTCCCATTTGTAAATGAATCTCCATATAGAAAGGCACTCGAATTCCTCCCCTTACCAAATGTGTGCTGTCCTTTACACACAATTTATGGATTGAAATAACTGATATATAATGACGAGCTTTGTACTTTAAGCAATTAGCATGAGAAATTCATTACAGAATAAGAGAAACTCAAGATTTTTTCACATTAAATCTTGCTCCTTTTCTTACTTGTGACCTAGCTCTGCTGCTTATAAGCCTTGACCTCTTTCTAATATTAGTTTTGTTATCTGTAAAGTAGGAAAAAAAAATATAGTACCATGAGGATTAAAGGTTAATAATGTTAAGTGATTAGAGCAGGGCCTTGCACTAATAAGTACTCAATAAATACCAGTGACAACAGCAAAAATTACATTCTTATAGTTAAGTGCTCCTATAAATTGGGTCCTTCTACTTTTGGGCACAGAGCAAGCTGGCACAGAAATTCATAAATATTAATTGATTCATAAAATATTTTAATGACCTGCAGTTGTCAACTAGTTCAAGAGATGGTGTTTGAGAACAAACTGGCAAAATTAGTTACATTCCACCCTAACTTTAGGCTCTCTAGATCTGACATTCTAAAATCCCAAATGGTTTAAAGAAGTGGATAAACAAAGGATACAATAAGTGGAGGGATCTGAATGAAAAACAGTTTTTCTTCCCAGAAAAACAGGGAAAGTAAGCTAAGTTAGAGACAACAGCTTATCAGGATAAACATCTTCACGAGCATTTTAGCGTGGAATACCATTGGGATAACTAATTCAGAAGAATAAAACCATTGTTTTCATTTTGTTTGTTTTTATTCAATTTTTTATGGTCTCAGTATAAATTTTTATGGTAAGGGTGCCTCTGAACTGATAAGAAACACAGTGTTCTCTATAACACAGACGCATTCACACACACATCTATTAAATTAGCCACATAAATGGGAAGTCCTAAAGATAAGTCTATACATACTAACAATTATATTGTTTCCTGAACTGTCTGATTAATTCAGTAAATAATTACTGAGATGATGAATGCAGGGATGACTATAACAGCATCCCTCATTCTAAGGAACATGTAATATAAGGAGAAAAAAATGACATATATATTGTCATAGATAACATTTATTGAACACTTAAATATATGCCATGCTTACATTTAAGGTGCTCACATGGATTAGCCCATTTAATTTCTACAACATCTCCCCTTTATAACATCCAGAAAGTCAAGGAGAAGACAGCTTCAGGACTGAGGACTGGGAAGTAGCAGACTATGAAATGTGATAAAATATACCTCTGTATGATACATGACCCCCGCATGGCCAGCTTTAATAGAATGAAGATATCAGATTGAGCAGAAAGAAGGGGACTGGATAACAAGAGAGAGAAAGCTGAGAGTGCAGGAGATTTTGTTGGAAATCAAAAGAGATGATTGATTGTGAAGAGGGTTGCAGACCAGGTCCAGGAGCAGACTCCAGGGGGGCCATTCAGTTTCTGCTTTCTCCTATCAAATGCATCGATAAAGACAAGTCCTTTGCACAGTGACTCTTGCTAGGTTAGAGTCATGAAATCCTTTTATTTAGTGACAGACATTTTCTAAGTCCTAACTGTTGCAACACTTGGAGATAATAATTCTTGGACTAATGAGTAATAATCTATCTCTCTCACTTAATGACATTTAAAACCAAAGTGGAGAATAAGGCCACAGTATTACAGTTCAGAGTGTGAATGAAATCTACATAAATTATGTAAAATATTCATTTTCATTTGTTTTCCTTTTATTTTTATAATTATAAGTTGTGAAGTAATTTATTCTGCCAATAAATATTCTATTCTGTCCTCAGTAACAGAATCAGATGGATGGGCATTAAACATGATACTGAAGTGATGTCACATATAAAATATTTTTTTAAGTTGAAATTGCAAATGAGCATCACTCCTGTGTCTGTGCTGAGCTATCCTTAATAACATGCATGACCTTCCTCAATCCACTGATACTGTGTGAAATACGCACTCAGGTACTTTTCCAGATTAAACAATGATGGATTGGTTAAGGAATCACAAGTTAAAGTCTTTTGCCTTTGAAATTCAGAAGATAAATAATCTATAGAATTATATACAACAACATGGAAACCTTTGCTGAAAAGAGACAGCTTGTTGCCTTTTTTAATATTCATGGCGGCCATCTCTGCATTTCTACACCTGCCTGAATTTCCACTGGTCCAACATTATATATTCTGCTGCCAGTTATTTTCACTTGTCATTAAATTTCCCAACATTTCTTTATCCTTTTCTTAGATCTCTAGTTTCCTCTGCTACTGCTTTGCCAAACCCTTTTTTTCATTAAGAGTTTTTCCTCTCTTTTATGATAGTTCAGAAAATATGTCTAATATTTCACTTATCAGGCAAGTTTACAACTAAAATTATGCATTGCCCTATTTAGTTTTAATACCTTTAGTACTGGATTATTTGGCCTAAATCCTTAACACTGTATTTTCGAATTAAGTGGTATATGTAGGAGGACCGTCCGTCGTTTACACTTTTAATCATCCACAACCCCCTCCCTTAGAATGAGAAATAAAAAGAAACAAACCAATGTAAATTAGTCCAAACACATGCACAAATGTGTTTGTGTTTATAGACAATAAGATACCCCTCCCCCCACCAATAATTTGAACTCTTAGGCAGTAGTCACACTTTTGAAGATTACCTATTAGGACATTCTGACACAGAGCTTGTAATATACCTTGGAAAGTTTAAATTTAACTGTAAGAGATAGTTTGAGCGAATGAGTTAAATTTTTAATCAATGCTAATATATGCCAAAAAGTTTTAATTAAGAAGCCTTGAAGATGCAATCTATTACATACATGCAATATTACATCATCATTATCAAATATGTGAATCAAGCTTCACTGTCTATAACTTACCATCAGAAAGTGTAACCACTGTTATGTCATCCGTAGATACTCCTGGCCCATAGCGATTATAAGCTAGGAATCGAAGGGTATATTCCGTGAATTTTTTCAGGCCTTCCAGCTTATAAGATAGTCCATCAACCTCTATATTCTGGAGACACAAAATGCCAAACTGTTATTCAGGAGGCACATTAAAGCAGAAATGGCAGCCATTCTGCACAATCAGTGAATTGAATATTGGACTCTTACTCACAAAACTACACTCAAGCCTTATAATGAGTTGTTGTAAAACCTAACTTGTGACACACGCTCCCCCACTAAATCCCAAACTGTTCTGCAGACTTCTAGTTAAAACAGCACCGTGCTATTTTTACAGTCATTAAGTTCCAATATGTTTAACGCCATCCAAAACATTGAATGGTGCGCCGTATTCCACCCACACCGAAACTCTGACAGGCAGAAGGCTGCCTGTGATCCATGGGAACAGAGAGTTGCTCCTCTATCCTAAGTGGAATAATTCACTACGAAACAGTAGGTTTCTTCCTTCCCTTGCTGAAATATAACCACAGTTCTTGAAACTGGCAGATCCTTTGCCACAATCTTTGTGTCTCACAAGGCTGTGAGGTGGTTTGGAACGGTTTCAGTACTTCACAGCTGCAGAAATGAGGTACTGGAGGTGAAGGTCATTGAGAAATCAGAGCCAGTGTGTTCTTAGAAGACATGTTATTTCACTCTCCACAATGATGCTCACACTTCTATTTGTCTCGGGCAACATCGTTTCTGAATTTACTTAAGGGGTTGGTGAAATTCATTACGGAAAAGCCAAAAATGCGTTGAAAATGGAGAGGATAGAAAGATGGAAACAAGAGCTAAACTGCATGAGGACAGCAAACAAATAAGAGATGGGATGGATAATTACATAAAAGGAAATCTTAGTTATTCCTATTGTGCTATAAAACTTAGGGCTTGAACTATTTCTGAATAGGACTGTTGCAAAACATTTTTTTTTTAAGGCAAAATCTCTATCATGCAGTTTATGGGGAAGCATGAAGACCATGGTATGCTTGGCAAGCTTCGTAACACATAAAAAGAACTCTGTTATCTCAACATGGGCTCTTGGTTTTTCCATTTAACTGTGCACGTGTCTATTTATCTTTTTCCACATGAGGCTGCAAATTGGGAAGTAAACATCTCTCAGTAGACTTATATGTGTCACAAAACAGAATTGTTGAGTTTCATGTGTATCCCCCTAAATACTTATTTATCTGAAAATCTAATTTTCCTGTTTTTAGGGATCTGTGCAAACCACAGATTACAAACAAAATGTAAAAAAGAGGCAAGTAGCCTTCTGGAGTGAGATTTCCTGAAAACAATGAAAAGGATAGGGGACTACAACCTGAAGGTGAGGAAAGGACAGAAATAACTCAAATACACAAGGATGAGATAAGCAAGTTGACTGAGGTCATCGAACAAAAGATCAATCGTCCTTAAGATAAGGACTCATGATGCAAATGCTTTCTAGGACCAGATGAGTTAATACAACTGTGGCTATGCTGGCCCAGGCCACTCCCTACTCAGATAAAAAAGAAAAATTACATCCTTTATAGTGACTTTATCTCACAGCACAGTTGCCTCTCTTACAATCAGAATTCAATTAAATTGCTTAAAGTTTCTAATAACAAGTACTCTAAAACTGATCAGCTATCCAGTTAACGTGCTGGGCTGGACTGTACTAAGAGTTTGCAGATCTCCTCCTAATGGCTCCAGTCCTAGGAAAATCCAACAGGTGGCAGCATTGGGTCCATTCCTTTGCCTACCTGTTCCTTTCCCGTGGACACCTCAGTGCAGAACAATCTGTAACCTTGGACTGGACCGTTTGCATAGGCAGGGGGTTCCCAGGTAATAAGAATTGAGGTAGGTGAGGTAGATACAGCTTGCAGGTTTTCTACTGGTCCTGGAACTTGCACTGTGTACAAAAGAAATTGATTAGTCTAAGAGGGTTCTCTTTTTCAAAATGAGCAAAATACATCTTTTACAGCTTATGGAGATTATAACCCTATGTATTATTTTTAGAACCAAATAGGATAAGAAAATAAAATGCAAATATAAATCAATGAATTTTAGAATCATTTCATTTTGAAATTCAGGAGGGGATTTCTATTAATCTAAATTACTTCATTTTTACAGTGGAGGAAAGTAGTCAAGGAGTCTAACTGACTAAGAGAATGACGGAAAAAGAGGTGGACTCTTAATTCAAATTTTTATTATGGAAAATTTTCCACTATACCAGCATGCCTTCACTTGTGTATGACTAATAACCACAGAAGGAATACAGTTAGAATACTTACATGTCCTGTTTCTACCTATAATTCAAATAAGCAGCACACCTATGGATAACTTACCACATCTTTATTTATGTCAGCATTTTAAAATCTTGACCAATCCTGAGTCATTTAAATTAATTTTGGCATCAATTTTCAATTTCACTTTCTAGTATTCCATTTTCTCTCATAATTGCTACTTTACTTAATCAAGAATAAGTACCTTGTTCATTAAAGAAATTATATAGCACAGGTCCACAACTGGCTACCTGAAACACTTGTGTCCAGATATTTTTTGAGATCTAGAAATTTTCAGGTTTTAGAACGGTAATACGGTGCATGTGCAGTGTTCTATTTAACACCCCAAGTGGGGTCTAGGGTAGCACCATATTATCAGATCATATATTTGCAGCAAAATACATGATATTCACATCAAACAGAATTACTAAAGACTATATATAGCATGGCATAAAGTCAGATCAGGTTTGGGTATGACATGAGTTAAACTCTTTCAAATTCCAGATTTGTAAATTTTGAACTTAGGCATAATTTTTTATTTATGGACCTGAATATAAATATATGGTTTGTAAACTGAAAATCCAATACCCATGTTTGTTAATGCAATCTAAATTAAATGGTTTCATCATTGCCAGTATTACAATTTTATCTTCAATGTACCATACATTTTCCCCAGCCTTAAATACCACATAGCTTTGAACAGATGCACGTTTTAGGCCTCTACTGGAATTTTGTGAGTTTGAATGTCCAGAGTAAAACAGTCTGTGAAAACCTAGCTCAACTCCTTAGATCAGGGCTGCACCTGTATCCCTAAATCAGTCATTTTTCAGAACGTATTCCATGGTATCCAGACTCCTTAAGTCATCACTGCTTACACATTCATTTGGGGGAAAATATATATATTATATATTTTAGATATATTTTATTTATCACCTTCACTTATTTTTCCACCAGTTCCCAGATCTTGAGTATCCCTATTACTGACATTTGCATTATTTCAACTTAACAAATGATTGCTATTTATTTATTTATTTGACAGAGAGAGAGAGAGAGAGAGAGAGCACTAGCACTAGCAGGGGCAACAGCAGGCAGAGGGAGAAGCAGTGGGACTCCATCCCAGGACGCCGGGATCATGACCCAAGCCAAAGGCAGACACTTAACACACTAAGCTACCCAGGTATCCTGACTGCTAACAATTTCTTAAAAACATAGTTGAAAATAATTTTAAACCTACAGAAAATTTTAAGAATGGAAATAGTACATAGAATACCCATGTTCCCTTTTCCCAGGTATACACATATTCTTTTTCTCTCTCTCTCTCCATATATACGTATATATCGTATTTATCACATTCATCATATACAGAGAGACAGAGATACAGAGACAGAGACAGAGAGTCTGAATCTACCTATTCAGATTAAGTTATGCATACCACGGCTCTCAACCCCCAAATGCATATTTCCTAAACATTAATGTGTACGTGGATAATATGAACTTCAGTGCATTTTATTCTAATACAATACTTTTACTTAATTTTCATCTGCTTTCCAATTTTGTCAACTGACTCCATAATGTAATTAATGTAGCATTTCCCTCTCTGGTGCAAGATCCAGTCTAGGGTCAAATTTGCATTTCCTTGTCATGATCTCTTTAGTTGGTTTTATGCTAGAACAGTTCCAAAGCCCATCTTTATCTTTTAGGTCCTCTATACTTTTGAAGACTATAGTCCCTTTTTTAAATTAATAGAATATTACTTATTTGGGGTTTGTTTTTGTTTCTTCATGTTAGATTTCAGTTATGCATTCTAGACTGAAATGAAACATGCATGATATATGTCTCCTCAGGGTATCATGGCCAGAGGCATAAGCCCTCTCTCCCTCCCTGGTTTGTTATATTAGTTCTGAAGAGAAGGTGCTGCCAGATTTCTCCACGTAGAGTTAACTGATTTCCCTATATCCCTCCCAACCCCCAAACCCTGCTCTATTGCTCACAACCAATAAGCAATTTGTGGGGAGAGACTACGTCTTTCAGAATATCATGTTATTTATCAAAACCCCTTAGAATTAGCACTTAGCAACAGTTTTTGATAAATCAATTTTTTGGCATGGTGGTTATAAATTGTTTTTTAATTTAAGCACTTCCTCCGTATTAACCACTTGGCACTCAACATTTTATTAGAAGCAAGAATCGGTATTTCCTTTTTTTTATAATATTCTATTTATTTATTTACTTTAGAGAGAGAGAGAGAATGAGCAGGGAGAGCCTCAGAGGGAGAGGGACAAGCAGGCTCCATTCTGAGCATGGAGCCCCATGTGGTGCTTGATCTCAGGACCCGAGATCATGACATGAGCTGACATCAAGAGTCAGATGCTTTACTGAGTCACCCAGATGCCCAAATGTGACCTCACATTTCTATTTATGTATCTCCTATTAGTATGGGCACATGGATTTCTACTTTTTCATGGTCTATAATTCATAATTGTCCTTAATCATTTCGGTGTTCAAATTGCTGAGTTCAAATTTGGCCAGTGAGGTCCTCTTTAAGTTGGTTCCTCTGTCCTTATAACACGCCCTATCATTTATTGGAGCACTTCCTGTCTTCCTAGCATAATATATTTCAGGCTCATCTTGATCCTGCTCCAGTTCTGGAATCAAACATTTCTCCAGAGATGTCTCCTTCCTTTTAGTGCGGAGTGCTATTCAAGACAAAGACCTGGGTGTCAGCTGTGTTCATTGCTATTTGGGTCTCTTGTTTCTAAATCCTATTGGTGAATGAGAAACAGGAATTTATATACACTTATATATACAGAAATGCATTCATGCATACATATGCTCGAATATACAGGTACACATCTACACTTTTCATGACTCTACAGAGATACCTCCCATTCCAATCCGTCTCTACGAGGTTTGCTCTTGCGTTCCCCATTCCTTTTATGTCCTTTCTTCCATAGAGAAAACAATGGCTCCCAAAGATGACAGATACTTTATGAGAGTGCCCTCCCCTTGGTCCTTTTCCAGGAAGGGGTAATTTTTCTATGGGAAATTCCTTAATTCCCAAAGAGGACTTCAGCGGACAATACTATACAACAATGAGGAGACTTGCCTGTGTCTAAGTTCATAGTGATACAGTTAGAACTGTTCTGAAGACATTTTGCTCCATGGAGTTCGGGGGGAGGCAGAAAAAAAAAAGTTGCCCACCTACATCATTCAAATGGATTTTCAAAGTGTACTGTTTAGAGAACAGCAGTAAAAAACTATAATTTTCATGCTTCTGTGATTACTGATATATTCACAATGACAATGCAAACATTTTCAAAGGGGAGGTTTGTTTTCTGATTGGGAATCTGTGTTTTTCTAAGGAAGAGAGACAAAGAAAGAAGCAAGAGAACTGAGACTGAGTGACTCGCTTTAGGTACATGTTGAATGTGACATAATCAGGATTTTGAAATTTCACAGAGCATATCCTTGTGGCCCAGTGATGTATAAGGTATTAACTGAATGTGCTCTTTCTAGCTGTCTTGTGGCTAAACTGAAAGGGCACTGCTTACTAAAAACAATCATGGCTCATTCTGGAAACTAACACTAAGATTTAAAAATGGCCAACATCCAAGGCCATCACTCCACATTCAAGGAAGTTTTCCCAAGCAGGATGACTCCAAGAGGCCTAGGAGATGAGTGAGTCTCCCTTTCTTGGAGAAAGGGAAGGAAGACAATGTTTTAGAAGTTCCTGCTCATCTGTTCCACTGGAACACAAGGGGGTAATGAGAAGAAGAGTAAGCCACATGAGAATCTGGAAGGCCAAGCTGAGGGAAGCATCTAGAATAGTGAGGGTGGGAGTGCACAGCCCACCAAACTAGGACTCTGAGCACATAGCAATCAAATATTCCAACCTCATAGCAATCTCTATCAGGCATTGTGGGGAGAATAGACAGATTACCCAGATGTCTACAGCTCAAGGCAGCATCCCCACAAAGACTACCAATAGACCACACTCCTCCCCTAACGAGCCCAGTGAGGGCTGCTTAGTGTCTAGGCTCCGTGTCAGGAAAATGGTTAAAACACTCCACTTCCTTTCCCAAATAATAGGAACAGTTGTCTTCTCCACAGGGATATGCACATTGCTAACCATACACAACATATTCAATAAGCATGTGTCAAATATATATAGTTTGTATATAATTATCAAATGTTACCCTAAATAACAAGTCTAGGGATGTCTGGATGGCTCAGTCAGTTAAGTGTCTGCCTTTGGCTCAGATCAGGATCCTAGGGTCCTGGGATCCAATCCCATGTAGGGCTCCCTGCTCAGCGGGGAGCCGCTTCTCCCTCTGTCTGCCGCTGGCCCTTCATGTGCTCTCTCTTTCTCTCTCTTGCTCTCTGACAAATAAATAAATAAAATCTTTAAATAACAAGCATAAAATAAAAATAGCTACTCTGCGTAGTCTAACCCATTTGATTTTGTTAATGCAGGATTGCAGAAGTGTTTTCCTGATACCTGATGAGAATGAAAGTTGGTATACATGTCCATGTTTGTTGTATGCACGTGAACCTAGGTACGCTTTGCCCACTGTATGATTTGTTTATATGCATGTGTAGCTTGGTTGCCTACAAGACAACATCAGGT